TACACCGTACTACTGATCGGTAAAAGCATAATTCTCCGGCTGATCCGGTACTGTAAACTATGTATATAAGCCGCAGAGGGGGTACCCCCCTCTCTCCCATATCTAATGCTACCTAAGTCCCCATCAATTTCCCACAACTGTCGCATGGCATCGGTGCCAAGGGTACAGGATACCTTAACGTACAAATGGCGAGAGCGGTCTGCAACGTCATGCTCACCTTGGGGTGCGGTAATTTATCTAAGATCCAGCGTAGCTCCCTATCTAACCCTGGGAGCTCTGCCCTGCAACACCCCACCAGGTCGGCATGCTATAGCTCTGCTCCATCCCAGCCAATCAGGCGGGCGGCGCATAGCTTCGAGTATCGCCGGCATGGCGTTGGCGGGGCACTTTTTTTATGCCTCTCTGCCCATATCGATTGCTGCCATGACAGCGCCGGAACCGCTGACAGCTTGGGAGTATCGATGTGTTGGAAAGACGGACAAGTTCAAATGTGTGTATAGATACCGGGAACTAACTATACTCGCTGCTTTCGCGTGTCCGATGATGGCAGCTTCGGACCACTGTCCTGAAACGCCAACGGCGACGCCGGACTGACCGGTGTTTGTCATTCCATCCAGGCAAAGTATGTACGCAAGGCTTGCTCCAGTAGGTTTCCTCGTCGCTCAGCGGGTAAGACATGCTCACATAATCGAAAGAAGGATCGGGGATGCATGCATTGGAGTCCTAGAGGGGTAAACGGAATGAATAAAGTTAGTTGTTAGTTCAAATGGAGATTGGGAAATAAATACTAAACGCCGACAGCGCCTGCTTATGATAGCTGGGAACAGACAAATGAATCAAGAAAAAAACAGGGCGTCAAGGTCGAAAGAAAAAACAATGATTCCATAATCCAACATTTTTTTTCTCCCTCTTCCGTCCACTGCGGAACTCTAGACGACGGACTTAATCACTCAGCAAGACCCTGGAAAAGCCATGCCGTCGACGTCAAAGCCCACACTGATCCTGATCCGGTGGATCTGAGCCCGGCGCTTCCGAGTTCGCTACTGTACGAGCCAGGACATACTCTCGGAGTTGTGTTCTTGCTTTGTGTGAGAGACAGAAAGCGACTCCGCCGTCAGAGATTTCAGCAGGAAAAATAAGCGCATCAAGACCATCGCTTACAATTGAAGTTTTCACGATCTTTCAATAGCCAAGGAAAACAACAAAGCAAAAACAAAAACACAACTCTGGACGCGGAAAGGACCCTTGAGACAGCAAACGCAGATTCGCTGCCAAAGAGAAAAGGTACCAGACGGTTAACGGACAGTGACCAGGGTCCTTGCACTGAGTAAGCTCCCCACTTCCCAAACCCAACAACATTATCAATCCGCCGAGAGCTCCTCCAATTGTCGTTCTTTTTCACGACAACCACCAACTTTCAAATCAAACCGTCCTACTCTTTCTTGTGCCCCCTTTTGGTAATTGTGGTAGCTCATTCTTGCCTACTACTCTGAATTGCCTCAGTCCCCTGGCAACCACCATCCTTTGCTGACACCTATTTCCAATTCCAGAACAAGCAAGATGGACTCTGCTGCAGCGTAAGTCAGCCCCGCCAACCCCGCCATTTTAAATCATGACGAAAGTCAACAGCGCAGCGCCCGACAAGCAGGCGTTTAGCCGCGCCCGTTGCCGTCGTTTGATTGTCTAGACGTGTGATTGCTGCTATTGCTGCTTTCTAACGTCGAATTCGCGTTGAACGGTGTGACTGACCATGGAATCAAACAGTTCGATGGAGCTCAAGGACAACACGGTCATCGTGGTCCTTGGTGCCTCTGGAGACTTGGCTAAGAAGAAGACTGTAAGTTGCCCGCAACCTAGAACACCTCGACACTGGACTCAATTGCTAACCTTTGATAGTTCCCTGCTCTGTTTGGTCTCGTAAGAAATTTTCCCGACCGTCCTTTTACAACTTGCCTGTAATCCTAACAATTCCCCGAAAGTACCGCAACCAGTTCCTCCCTCAGAACATTCAGATTGTCGGATATGCACGGACAAAGATGGACCACGCCGAGTACATCAAGAGAGTCCGATCATACATCAAGACACCCACCAAGGATCTCGAGAGACAACTCGACGAGTTCTGCCAACTTTGCACATACGTCTCTGGTCAATACGACAAGGATGAGTCCTTCCAGGAGCTCGACAGCCACCTGAAGAAGATCGAGGAGGGCCGCAAGGAGGCCCACCGCCTGTTCTACATGGCCCTTCCTCCCAGTGTCTTTACTATCGTATCCCAGCACCTCAAGAGATGCTGCTACCCCAAGAACGGCATTGCCCGTGTCATTGTAAGTCTGCCTGCCTGCCTGCCACGAGGAATTGAGATGCTGACAAGCTTTTCAAACAGGTTGAGAAGCCATTCGGTAAGGATTTGGCCAGCTCTCGGGAATTGCAAAAGTCGCTCGAACCCGACTGGAGCGAGGCAGAGCTTTTCCGTATCGACCACTACCTCGGAAAGGAGATGGTCAAGAACATTCTGATCCTGCGCTTTGGAAACGAGTTCTTTGGCGCCACCTGGAACAGACACCACATCGACAACGTTCAAATCACATTCAAGGAGCCCTTCGGCACCGAGGGCCGTGGCGGCTACTTTGATGAGTTCGGTATCATCCGTGACGTCATGCAGAACCACTTGCTCCAGGTCCTGACGCTGCTCGCCATGGAGCGCCCGATCTCCTTCTCCGCCGAGGATATCCGTGACGAAAAGGTCCGTGTGCTCAGGGGAATTCCCGCCATTGAGCCCAAGAACGTCATCATTGGCCAGTACGGAAAGTCTCTGGATGGCAGCAAGCCTTCCTACAAGGAAGATGACACTGTTCCCAAGGACTCGAGATGCCCTACTTTCTGCGCTCTTGTTGCCTATATCAAGAACGAGAGATGGGACGGTGTACCCTTCATCATGAAGGCTGGCAAGGCCTTGAACGAGCAAAAGACGGAGATTCGAATTCAGTTCAAGGACGTTACTAGCGGTATCTTTAAGGACATCCCTCGCAATGAGCTCGTCCTGCGCATCCAGCCAAACGAGAGTGTCTACCTCAAGATGAACTCCAAGCTGCCCGGTCTTAGCATGCAGACTGTCTTGACCGAGCTTGACCTGACCTACCGTCGCCGCTTCTCCGACTTGAAGATCCCCGAGGCTTACGAGTCTCTGATTCTGGACTGCCTCAAGGGCGACCACTCCAACTTTGTCCGTGACGATGAGCTCGATGCTAGCTGGAGAATCTTCACTCCTCTCCTGCACTACCTCGATGACAACAAGGAGATCATCCCCATGGAGTACCCTTACGGTAAGTTTCGAGACGTGTAGTGATTTGCCATACCAAACCTGCTGACTTTTTCTTAAACAGGCTCGAGAGGCCCCGCTGTTCTGGATGACTTCACTGCTAGCTACGGCTACAAGTTCAGTGATGCATCTGGCTACCAGTGGCCGACTACTTCGGCTATCCCCCCTAACAAGTTGTAAGTAGAGATGAACTTGTTGCATTGACGGATCATGTTAGCAATCCTTTTCGGATCTACTCATCTGCAGACCATCGTGCTGACCAAAGCCTGGTAGCTAATGATCCAATGAAATATACATGTTGGAACGAGTATAGAATACATCCGTTTCTGTCCCGGTTTATGATGAAGGATGAGGTGGCGCAATGTTCAGGCTTTGAAGCGCATTTTCAGACATATATAGGCTTATTAGTCACAATGTTTCGTGCGATTCATTCTCAGTGGATGGATATTATCTGAGAATCGTACAAAAGCGAACGGTTTCCTAGACAAATTAGATGAGGCGTTCAAGTACTCTGCCTACTACCAAGCCTCGGAAACTAAATGATTCTTTATAGTGCACTCACTTTATGACTTTAATCATGTTTATTGCCTACGTGATGGGTCAGTTAAAACCTTGGCGAGATTGGCACGAGAAGCTGCTGAGCCAAGTGAGCACCGTCCAGATATCCAGCAAGCCAGC